TGTTGGTTTGACTACCCATTAATCTATTACCAGTAGAGCCGGCAAAGCCGGGAGGCGGAAGTTTCCAAAACACATGGGACTTATAGCATTTGCATTGTTGCTGGTTTCAGCCGGGGGGCCTTGCTCCTTGAACGTGCCATGTCGAGAACATTCGCTCCCAGAACCTCCCAGCCGCACTTGTTTTCAAGGAAAAGCTGCAGCGCCTCGTGGCCTGAACCGCGAGGCGAAACCGTTTGCTAAGGAACAGTGTGCTGTTCTGCATGCTCTCCCGTGTGGTTGTCTATGCTCTGGCGTGTCTGTCCTGCAGGAACAAGCAACAAACAGTGACTGGAACAAGTTGTCTTAGGCTTGCGCGATGCCTGTGAAGAAGTCTGTAGTTGTGGACAACATTTTGTTCGCTACCTCTGTTGACTCTAGTGTTAGTGTGATTGGTGTAGACAGCTCAAGTCACCAGAGACTGCAAGCCAAAAAACAACACGCGCGGCAAGAGCTCAGCACGACCGACGTCTGCATATTGGTCTATCCATGTCTCTACCCGAATACTTTGTTATCCATCTATCCACTTAGTTATCTAGCTATCTATCTAGCTCGAAAACTACTTTTGTACTCAACTTTTGCGAAGTTCGACCTGCAGCTGAAAAGAGTAATTAAATCGAATACTACTTTTGTACTTAACGCTTGCGATTTTCAAGCTGCAGCTGGAAAAGTATTAACTTTTGTACGTAATTTTTCGATTTTGGAGCTGCAGCTGGAAGAGTGGAATCGTACCTTCGATCACGAAATGCTGCGCCTGCCACGAAATCTGTACTTGACCTTGCGAATGTATCGCCCCTGCCACGAAATGTTTGCCAGCCTTGCGTAAGTGCTGTGCCTGCCACCAAATCTGTACCTGACCTTGCGAAAGTGCTGCGCCTGTCCTTGACCTTGTGAATGTATCGCGCCTGCCACGAAAAGTGTACCCAGCCTTGCGAAAGTGCTGCGCCTGCCACGAAATCTGTACCTGACCTTGTGAAAGTCCTGAGCCTGCCACGAAATCTGTGCTTGACCTTGCGAAAGTATCGCCTGCCACGAAATCCTTGCCCAGCCTTGCGAAAGTCCTTTTGCGGTTTTCGAGCTGCAGCTGGAAAAGTGCACTTGGAATACTACTTGTGTGCTTAATCTTTGACGATTTTGAGAGTGGAATCGCACCTTCGATCACAAAAAACTGCGCCTGCCACAAAATCTGTGCTTGACCTTGCGAAAGTATCGCGCCTGCCACGGAATGTGTACCCAGCCTTGCGAAAGTGCTGCGCCTGCCACGAAATCTGTCCTTGACCTTGCGAATGTATCGCGCCTGCCACGAAAACTGTACCCAGCCTTGCGAAAGTGCTGCGCCTGCCGCGAAATCTGTGCTTGACCTTGCGAAAGTATCGCGCCTGCCACGACATGTTTGCCAGCCTTGCGAAAGTCCTTTTGCGATTGCGAGCTGCAGCTGGAAAAGTGTACTTCGAATACTACTTTTGTTCTTAATTTTTTCGATTTGGAGCTGCAGCTGGAAGAGTGGAATCGTACCTTCGATCACGGAAAATTGCGCCTGCCACGAAATCTGTACTTGACTTTGCGAAAGTATCGCGCCTGCCACGGAATCTGTACCCAGCCTTGCGAAAGTGCTGCGCCTGCCACGAAGTCTTGCGAAAGTGCTGCGCTTGCCACGAAATCTGTGCTTGACCTTGCGAAAGTACTGCGCCTGCCACGAAATGTTTGCCCAGCCTTGCGAAAGTCCTTTTGCGATTTTTGGAGCTGCAGCTGGAAGAATCGTACATTTGGTCACGAAAAACTGCGCCTGCCACGAAATCTGTACTTGACCTTGCGAAAGTACCGCGCTTGCCACGAAATCTGTACCTGACCTTGCGAAAGTACCGCGCTTGCCACGAAGTCTGTACTCGACCACGCGAAAGTGTCGCGTCTGCCACGAAATCTGCATGCGCCACCTTGCGCGCCCGGGCCAGCGGGATTTGCGATGCGTCCGTGCCAGCGCTGCGGGAATGGCGCCTGCCACAAAATCTATACTTGGCCTTGCGAAAGTGTTGCGCCTGCCACGAAATCTATACCTCGGGTCGCCAAAGTGCTGCGCCTGCCACGAAATTCTACCTTACGAAACCTCCGCGTTGCCGTGCCAATGGGCCCCCGTCCGAGACCGTCCCGAACAGGCGCCACGGCAGAGGTACCTTTCGCACATCTGCAGCAGCGATTTCCTGCACCCTGCCACGCAGGCGCGTTCTCTATCTTTTCGCGCGCTCAGACAAGGTTCTTTCTAATCATCAGCTATCCTTCAATTAGTTTCCGTACCACGGAAGTTTCTTCTAAACTTCCTTTGATAATCTTTTATTGAAACATAGTGTTCGTTATCATTTTTTCAATTCGTAATAGATTGATATGACAAGATGGTCTTTCAATCTTTGTAATCCTGTCTGCTCTGATGGTTTGGTTCTCATCTTCAACATAAACATTAACTGATATAGAAGTTTGGTTAATTGTTTCAAATGAGTCAATGTCATCATTGGATGCTGGAAAATGTACACCATCCCATTTAATCAGACTTTCAGTAGTTATTAGTTTCTTGTAGTGTCTCATATGTTGTGGATGGTCTTTCTTGAAGACTTCATACAATTTACATACAACGCAGTAATTGAAACATAATTCATCTTCATTTTAAATGTTGATACACGCTTTTTTCTTTGAAATCCATTCTGGTAGTTCCGTATATTTACCTGCTCTGTTTGGATTGTATTTGTCGTAGTGGATGCGTATTTATTAACTTTGTTAATTCTCAATCCTGAATGTCTAAATGGTGAGTTTTCAATTTGTAGTTCAATGTCTTTCGGCATATTGTCCGGTGCTTTTCCCAAATCAGCAATGTTTAGAATGTTGTACCTCCTGCTTCTCATTTGGATACTTATTTGTTCATCATTTTCATCTTCGGTAGATATTCCAAGCGTGTTTGACGCACTGACAACGTCTTCTGTGTCATCACCACCTACTTTAACTTTATCAAAAATAACATCAACATCAGTAATTCTTTTCATTGATTTGGCTTCTTGTAAAAACTCTGTTAGTTTCTTTTCTTGCTATTTTGGATAGGTCAATCCTTTGTATCCCTTGAATGGTATGTTGGTTATTGAATATGTGTTGGCGTATCGTTTCAATGCTGAAAATGTATCTGATGTTTTTGCTCCTGCTCTAATCCTGTATTTCTGGATTGTTTTAATGCCTCTTTGATGCTTTTTTTGGAAGATTAAATTGTTTGAAACCTTGTGTGTTGCTGATTTGATTGAGTTTGTTTTGAAGTGATGTTGATAATGGTGTGTCTTTGTTGTAAGAGTATTCTTTGTTGTTGGTAACTAGTCTCTTTCAGTGGTTTGTTGTTCTTCCCTGTTTTTATTGACCTCCACTATTGGATATTAGATATTCAAGTACTGTATTCCCTGGCCATTTCTCTATACTATATATGACAATATTTCTTTAAGTATATTTTGGGTGGGGGTTTGGGTTGTGGCTTTGGATTTTGTGGGTTTGGGTTCAACATTGAAATGCGGGTTGCTTTGAAGCTTTGATTTTCCCTTTGTAGGTGGCCATCCCTCGAAATGCGGGATATGGCATACCCGGAAATTTGGATAAGGCGCATCCCGAAAATTGGGTATTGATCACCTAAAATTGGGTAAGGCGTACCCCGAAATTTGGGTAAGGCACACCCCGAAAATTTGGTATTGACACCCCTAAAATTTGGGAATTGATATCCCAAAAAACTGGGTAATCCATAATATGTTTAAATTCTTCTAGCCCACCAGAAAGCTAAAAAATTGTCTGAAACCTGAACCTTGAAAATGTCAAAATCTTAGACTGTTACTAAATAAAAATATGTAAAAAATGAAATGTTCAGAAATGACCCTTGAAATTACCTTGAAATGACATAAGGAATAACTAACTATATAATGTAGAGATGACTGACACCACAGAAGAAATCAGGACATGTTCAACTTGTGAGGATAAGAAACCTTTAGCTGACTTAAACAATGAAATTAAATGTTGCAAAAAGTGTCTTGAAAAACAGAAAACACATTACGTTAAAAACGGTGAAGAAATATTAGAAGATAGAAAGCAATACCGAGAACAAAACAGAGACAAGAAATTAGAACAATAGAAACAGTATAGGGAAAGGTGTAAAGAACAAATCCACCAAGCAAGACAATTTCTATGAACAAAACAAAGATACTAATTTGGAAAGCCAGCGAGAACGGAGGAAAGCAACAATTGAATGCCCTGTTTGGAAAACCGAATTTTTAGCACATATGAAATCAAGACACGGAGACACCAATAAACATAAGAAGCAACTGAACAAAGAACATGAAACTGAACAATGAATAGATTGGGAGTATTATTGTATTATAATATTTTCAATTACCATTTTTATGACCTTATTGAAAGTTCAGCCAGTTGCCCCCCACATCAACATTTTCCACGAATGCTACTATTAATCTTTATGAGAAAACAGAACATTAGCGAAGATAGGTTAAAATTAAATCTTAAAAAATACCCTGAAATTGAAAATTCCTTCCCGACACACACCCTTGTAATAATTTTTCCCCCGCACCCCCCCCCAACCCCCCCCACACCCCCATCGCAGAGCATGTCCGGATTCGCCCTTTGCCCTTGGCGGGCGCGGTAGGACACCTCGATTGAACCATCATAACATGTTGCTTAATTCGGTTTTGTCAATGCGCAGTTGCCGCAGGTGTCATCTTGTACCATCAGACTAGCGGAGTTGTCGCCGTTGCTGAAAGGCTCGAGGAGCGTGTCACTACTTTCAGGGTGAGTCTGTACGCTCTATGGCGTTACGTGTAACTTGCGTGTGACTTCAAGTATTGGGAGTTTCCAACGAGGCCTTCAGAGAAGACAACGAGATTTGCGACGCCAATGGCCTTTTTCTAGTTTGTTCTCGGTGCCCTTTTCCAGCGCCTGCAATGCGTGCAACGCTTGTGGCTGCCCTTTTGCTGCCGTGCTTGGCAACGCGGCCATCGGAGGATTTGCTGCCTGCTCTTTCCCTTCACAGTGCTGGTGGTGAATTGGAGTCGAAGCAGTCCGCGAACCGGACGACTGAGAATCAGACTGCAAACCAGACTGTGAACCAGACCGCGAATCAGACTGTGCACCGCTCACTGCCAACCTTCGTAGGAGGGGGTTGCATTTCATTGTTGGTTGAGTTGGTTTCTTGCCGCTGCAAAGTATAAGTAGCGATTTACTTCCCAGAAAGTGACCTTGGCTGGAGGAGCATCTTTCATCGCAACTCACGAAGTGAGGAGCAACGCCACAACAAACTCGACAAGGGTCGAGTATGAGCTGCGAACAGAGCAGGGTGGCGACAAGCCTGCACTGGGTATTCTGGTTGTAGGGGCATTGCGTTGAGGTGGGTACGAACCTTAATGGGGAACAGGTGGGGAGAATCCTCCATCACTTTTGAGGTGGTCGCCTGTTAATCTGAGGCCACAGCAAGGTAATGCTGATCTTCGTGGTCTTCTTGGGCCTGGGCTTTTGTGGAGTGGACCATTGCATAGTGGGGAACTTCATCTTGGGCACCCTGAAAGCTCTCACCGTGGGCGGCTTTGGCTTCTGGTTCTTACTGGACTGGATGTTGATCGTCTTCAACTGCGTGAATGAGTACAGCACCCTGCAGGGCTTCGGGTGGGATGTCGCCTTTCGCCCATGTACCATTGAAGATGCCTGCCGCATCGGCCAGATCACCTGCCTCCTGCACGCTCCCTTTGTTTACACCCTTATCAAGGTGGGTCGGGGCATCCGAGACCTCAAACTCGGTGTCGTGTGGCCCCTTTGGGGGATCCTTTCAGCTTTATGCGGACCCCCCACACCCCCCAACTCGAGGGTGTGCGCGTTTCAGGCGAAGGTGACGGGGCGCTCCATGCAGTCCAGCGCCCAGCAGCCGGCCATCAGTGGCATCGCCTTCCTGCGGCAGAAGGGCCTCCTGTCGGATTCGCCCTCCAAATGGGAGCTGGATCACGTCTTTGAGACCCTGGACAAGAACAAGGACACGCCAAAAAAATCCAAAAAAACACTCTAAAAGACGCAACACACTCGGAAACAAAAGGCGGGCAGAGGGAAGAGAAAACTCGGCTTCCAGCTGTGATTCTGCTTTTCATCCCGAGGCTGCAATTTGTCCCTACAGAAACTCTGGTTGGGACAGAAGGTATTCAAACATCTGTTTACACACTCCAAAAACACATGCACCGTTTCCCTGATAGACAAACCAATCATCGAGCTTCCCAAACCATCCGTTTACCCAACACCAGCCACTATCAAACAGAACCCACCAACAGCCACCAAACAAAACCCACCGCCAGTCGCAGATGGACAAGTGGCAATAACACCCATGAGCAAACACGACATGAACCTTGCATCAAACAGGATGGCCCACAAAACGCCAATGAAAACCGCCCTTTTCCCGTTGACTTTAGATCCCGAGACTCGTATGGCCGAACCATGGCAGCTTGAAGCCCTCCAAAGCAGAAAGCGGCCTTTGCGAACCCTTGACGACTCCATTCTGTTCACAGCTCTTTGAAGCGCTGCCCAAAGTCACGGAACCGGACAATCTGACAATCCCCTTTCTGAGGCGGGTCTACGCGAGGGACTCAGTGCTGTGGACTCTACATGGCAGTGTTTGATTTCCAGGTTTGAAGGGGCTCGTCACTCCAAGGGCCAAACTCTTGTTGGGTGGCCACGGCCATCACAGCCGCGCAAGGTGAAGTCTCAAGACAACTTCGACACACGCCTCGCTCCAAAGCTTTCGGAGGCAAAGAAAGGCACAAACAGCTGGCGGAAAGGGCCTGGAGAAAGTGTCGGAGTGTTGCCGAAATGGCCTTCGAAGTGTCGAATTCGTGTCTCGCCCTGGGATCAAGTTGATTGACGCAGGACGGCTTCGTCAGTCCCACCGAGCTCAAGGAAGGCCTGCGGGCTTTGGGCTGCGGGGACATCACGGACGAGCAGGTGGCGCAGATGATGGCCGCTGCCGGAGCAGAGGGCAAGATTCACAAGGTGGAGCCACTTGGACCTGGTGACCAAGGCCCTCAAGTAAGGGAAGTTTCACTGACCCTAGGAGAGTCGGCTAGCATAATCTCAGCACGGTAGCCGTCACGCAGAAGCATGCGTCTCGGAAGTGTGGCCAAGGTATCGAACTCCAGGTTTGCTTTCTTTTTCTGCCGAGGTTGGCGCGCATCATCGCTGCGGAGGGGGTGCGCAAACCATCCAGAGCTTCTGTCAGCGAAGGCGCGCCCGCGCGGAAGAGTGTGGCAGATGCAGCGGGAGCTGCGGATGCCGCCGCTGCTGCGGAGACCGCCGATGCGAATGCCGGTCCACCGAGCTGAGTTGCAAAATCCGGCCCGGATGTCTGCACGTCCAGCCCAACCGCTTAGAACTCGCATGAACATGCATGAACCAGTTCCTTCATAGTGCCAGTGTTTGGCAAGTCGTGTTAACAATCTTCAAGTCTGTTCCTAACGTTTGGCTTTCTTGCAGATGACTAGGCATAGGCAATGCTCTTCAGCCATTGGCTCATCAGGCAATCATTGCAAGACGCTCTTTCAGTCGACATCTTTGGCCTACTTAACGTACTGTGCAAGTTCAACCATCCTTAGTCCCAGCAGACCTTATAGCGGCAGCATCCAATTCATCGCCCATCGACATGCGGCTAATGCTTTGGTGCTGAGGCCGGCTAGCAAGGAGCAAGTCGCTTTCATAGTCGGTGCTGTGACGCGTGCAATTTAGTTTTGGTGCGTGGGTGTCCCTTTGCCAGGTGTGCATGCGGGGCCCACAGTGAAATCATCTGCGACACGAGACTTCAGTGGAATTCCAGGGAAGCGGTCGCTTTTCTCCCGACCGATCGAGGCCGAGGCCCCCGGTGCCAGCCTTGGCGCGCAGATTTCTTTTCTTTTTTTGCCCACAGCAGGCCTATGGAAAATCGGCGGAGGCAACCAGCGCACTTTCTCACGAAAGCCATGGGACAAAGCCCTTGATTTCACTCGAATCAAAGCCCTTGATTTCCTTGATTTCACTCGACCCAAGACTTGCTCACCGCAGGAGCTGGGCAGCCTGCGACCTGAGGCCTTTGCCCGGCTTCCCGGGTCGCATCTGCTCAGAACTTGCCAAGATCTGGCAGTCCAGGCGCACCTCTACAAGCTGCACAGCAGGCCTTTGGATGAGTTCAGTGGCTTAGGGCTTAGGCTCCTTGGCAGGCTGAGCGAAGTGCGCTCAGGCAGGAGCTTTTGTGGTTGAGTGATCCAACGAGGGCGTTTCTATGTGCAAAAGCCACCATTCGGACGCTTTGCAGGGGCCGGGCGGGTAGAAATGTTGACGGGTAGGCAGCGAGTCGCAGATATGCGAAGCAGGGAGCCCACTGTTACCAGCTGGGCTCGGAGATTTGGACAAAGTGCCCAGGACTACAAAGGACAAGCGTTCCGCGTGGACAACGGCTTTCTGCGGGCTGACTCAATCGGCACGCCCCTTTGAGTCGCATTCGGATCCGTTCTCGCATGATTTGCAGGCCTTGGCTTCCGGCGCAGCAAGTGCATGCAGGCAAGACGCACCAAGCGTGGCGCGTGAAACAAATAGAGATGACTAAAGATGAGGAGCGTGGGCTTTGATGAGACTGAGAATTCATTTCCGTGCAAGCCACAGGAGTTTGTCACACTAGGGGAAACAAGGCCCAGAGTCCGTAAGAGCCCGCTTGACTTTTCTCTTTTCGCGCTCTGAGCTGCTCGCGTCACACTGGGGGAAACAAGGCCCAGAGTCCGTAAGAGCTCACTTGACTTTTCTCTTTTCGTGCTCTGAGCTGCTCGCGTCACACTGGGGGAAATAATGCCCAGAGTCCGTAACATTTCGCTTGACTTTTCTCTTTTCGCGCTCTGAGCTGCTTGCGTCACACTGGGGAAAAAAAGGCCCAGAGTCCGTAAGAGCTCACTTGACTTTTCTTATTTTGCGCTCTGAGCTGCTTGCGTCACGCTGGGGGAAGCAAGCCCAGAGTCCGTAAGAGCTCACTTCACTTTTCTCTTTCCGCGCTCTGAGCTGCTCGCGTCAAACTGGGGGACACAAGAGCCAAAGTCCGCAAGAGCTCGCCTGACTTTTCTCTTTTCGCGCTCTGAGCTGCTCGTGTCTGAAACAAGGCCCAGAGTCCGTAAGAGCTTTCTCATTTCGCGCTCCGAACTTCTTGCGTCACACTAGGGAAAACAAGGCCCAGAGTCCGTAAGAGCCCACTTGACTTTTCTCTTTTCGCGCTTTGAGCTGCTCGCGTCAAACTGGGGGACACAAGAGCCAAAGTCCGCAAGAGCTCGCTTGACCTTTTTCTTTTCGCGCTCTGAGCTGCTCGTGTCTCACGGGGGGAAACAAGTTTCGCGCTCCGAGCTGCTTGCGTCACACTAGGGGAAACAAGGCCCAGAGTCCGTAAGAGCTCACTTCACTTTTTTCTTTTCGCGCTCTGAGCTGCTCGCGTCAAACTGAGGGACACAAGAGCCAAAGTCCGCAAGAGCTCGCTTGACTTTTTCTTTTCGCGCTCTGAGCTGCTCGTGTATCACTGGGGGAAACAAGGCCCAGAGTCTGTAAGATCTCACTTCATTTTTCTCATTTCGCGCTAAGAGCTGCTTGCGTCACACTGGGGGAAACAAGGCCCAGAGTCCGTAAGAGCCCACTTGACTTTTCTCTTTCGCGCTCTGAGCTGCTCGCGTCAAACTGGGGGACACAAGAGCCAAAGTCCGCAAGAGCTCGCTTGACTTTTCTCTTTTCGCGCTCTGAGCTGCTCGTGTCTCACGGGGGGAAACAAGGCACAGAGTCCGTAAGAGCTCACTTGACTTTTCTCTTTTCGCGCTCTGCGCTGCTCGCGTCAAACGGGGGCAAACAAGGCCTAGAGTCTTGCGCAAACCACTGCATTTTCATAGCCATTATTGTCTGGACAGGACTCTAAGCTATTGCACTAGTGTTTGTTTTGCCTTTGGGTGTTGTGTCTTGTCATTTTCTTTGTTTTTCCTTGCTTGACGGGTAAAGGAAGTGCGAGAGAGAGAGATATTTCGCTTTATAGCATATGTCTATAGACGAGAGATAACGGACTTGATTTCTAGTACTCATGTTATTTTCTTCTAGTCGGCAGTAATTTGTGGCGCCTTTCAATCCTCAAGTATATTTCGTACCTGTATGTGGTTTTTCTTTCGGCTTCCCTTTGAAAGCGACAAGCAGCTTATACCCTTAGATATTAAACCCAACAGCCCAACAAAACCAACAGCCCAACAAAGCCAGCCCAACAAGAGGAGACAGGCTGACAGGGAGCGAGAGACAGCGACTCCCCGATGTATCTTTCCGGTCGAGGATCTGCTGCCGGGCGCCGTGGCGGCCTGGGGCAGCACGGTCCTGGGCCTGGATGAGGGCGACGGCTGGCTGCGCGCGCCGTGCTGAGGTGATTTATGCGCAACGTACATGTTGACTTAGACATCTCCGATCCCCAAAATATTGGATCAAGAAGGGGGGGGGGTAGCATGGGTAGCATTCTGTTTTGAAGTCTCTGAAGCCCCAGGTGGGGTCCAAGTTTTTGCCCATGTACGTGTCCGGCGTCCCGGTGGTTTCGCCGGAGGCCTTTCGGGCTGGGTTGGTTCCCGGTTGCGTTGCGAGAAATGGAACTGTGGCCGGAGGCAGCAAGCCGAGCAGGTTCTACTTGGCGCTGACCTCACGGAACTGAAAGTCTCCACTTTGGCCCAGCTGACAGGTGCCCCAGCCCCAGCTCGCCCCGCAGCGACGTGAGCCGGGAGGATGTGAGACTGGCAGGCTGGAGTTTGGCAAGGGAGATAGAGTCGGAAGCGGGGCGTGCGGGTTCAAGAGTTTGATCAGGCGGTACCGTGTCACCTCTTGGTTTTCGGGTAAAGGGACGCTCAACTGTGCGGGCATGTGCCAGAATCCAAGCATGTGTTCCCACTGTCCTGTTTCACAGTAAAGTGTTTCCACTGAGTCACCAATCATTGATTAGTTTCTCTGGTGAAAGGCAGTGGGCCGTGTACCCCACTTGCTGGCAAGCCAGACTGGTGACTGAACAGACAAGCAGAGGCGTTGCATGGGATTACGCGAAGTGCTCGTTTGCAATTTTGTCTCTGCTTGCACGACAGTAGCCTTGCTCTTTTTGCTTGGAATGCTTCTTAGAAAGTGCCATTCGAATGCTTGAACTCTCTGCTTCTAGACGTTCTCCATAGTCAAATTAGCGTTTGCTGTTGATCGCCGCCTTGCTCTTGTTGAATGGTTTGTTTGCCTGGCTGATACGCGCGCCTCCAATTCTCTGGCAAGCTTGGCGACGGGCGCTGGCTTAGCATCACAGTCACACTTTGGAAGGTGGCCGAAAGCTCATTGGCCTTGGTATCCCAAGCCCATCTTTGGCCCGAGCTTTGCCACGCCAAAGCATCAACCCTTGCGTCACTCCAATACAGACCTTGCTGCGTACCCCCTTTTCCTGATAGCTACGTTGGGAGGCTACCAACAAGCTAGCGCCAGCGGCACAAGTACGCTGTGACTCAGCACGCGCATTTTCCACCCTGTTCTGCCTGTGTGCACTCTGAGGCCTGTATTGCAGGCAGGGATCAAGCTCTCCGAAAGATTCGGACTCGGAGATTTGGTCGGCGTTTGCGAGCGCGGCGGAGGCCCGGCCTGGCCCGGCACCCTGGGCACCCGCGCCGCCCGCGCCGCCCGCGCCGCCCGCGCCGGCCGCCCGCCGCCAGCGCCGGCGGCGCCAGTGCCGACAGGCGTGAGACGTCAACTCGCGAGCGTTCGAGAAGCCGCGGAGTCGCTGAGGCGGCTGGACCTGGCCAATTCCCATGGCGCCGGCCGACACCTTGGCCTCGGTTTGCGTGTCGTCTCTCTTGCGGCAACTTGGAAGCTTAAATCAACGCTCTCAGCGCACTCAGCAGCTCCGTCCCGGCCGGGGACTAGGATTTAGAGTTGTTTCGGATGGTTTCGGATGGTGTCGGCACTTGCACATGTGTTTCCTCCAGGCCCAATGCAACATCGGGCTCTGCAGTGATCTGGCGCGTGCCTTCTGAACCGCACTCCTTGGGCTTGGGGGCAGCCACAGCAAGGCGCGGATGCTTCAGAAGTGTGGGTCTCAGGGTGATGCCGGTGATGCCGGGTGTACTTGTTACTCAACTTGTTGCTGATGTGAGGTGTCAGAAGAAGATGTCCAAGGGACTGCACCCCGGCTGGCAGCTCAACCGAGTGGAGTGCAGTCATGTCAGCGCAGCAGATGCACCGCCGCCAAAGCGCCATTTCCTTAGCTCAGGTGCGGCGAGCAACAGCCTGAACCAAAATAAATAAGCCGTTGGTCGCACATACAAACAGGAAGGCTGAATCGCCGTTGGCATATCCTGAGCCATGACACCACATGGCCCTCGTAAGTTGGTTCTCTTCTTCAGCCCCGTTGCCATGATCGCGAGAGAGCTGCTTGGCCTGGGGATCACCCTGCTGGCGGCGCTTGCGCTGGTCGCGCTGGCTGTGAGACGTTTCCGCAAGGAGGAGGAGCCACAGCGCCCGTGTTGCCCAATTTGCTTAGATGAGATTTCTCAGGGGGGCTGCACCCTTCCCTGCGGCCACGACTTCCATGCGAGCTGCTTGCAGCGATGGTTCCAGGCGGGCGATCAGCTGATGGTTCTCATTTCGAGAAAACCTGGTGAATGGACACCCGATTCTGCTGGCCACAAATCCTCTCCTAAAGCAGGGCTCCTTAGAAGATACATTTTGCCCATTTGAAACATGGCTTTTTCGACCAAAATAAAGGGAAACCACCATTGCAAGGCAATGCTCAGGTGTATAATGTAAGGATCCCTGCAAAGGATGCCCACCAAGGGGTCCTCTATTGGGCTTCACGCCCGTTGCTCGGTTGCTTGCGAGTATTTTTCGCAGGTCTCTGCGCGCTGCCCATACCGCTGCACGGAACACGAGGAGGAGCTGGACGCTGATGGCCGGTGCTTCGTAGCCAGCGCGGAGCGCTGCCGGGCGGCCCGTGCCGCCTACCGCATGTGTTTGGGCTGGTGATTCAGGCCGATGTACAGCTAGGCAAAGCCAGCAAGGCGCGCACAACGCACGCGGTTTCAGAGAGAGATGATGTAGAGATGTAGAGGTCAATTTAAGGAATGAGGAGACTGAGCGACAAGCTCAGAGCCTCAGACTTTGCGAATTCGCCCAACAGAGGCTGAGGGGCACAAGCACCCTCCCGCGGCACCGCGCTTTGCCAAAACCAAAAGTATCTTCCCCATATCTTCCCCCAACATAACGGTAGCCGTTCCCTGGCAAAAGGCCAACCAATTTCCCCCCGGACTTTCTGGACCTTCACTTGGAGCTCGCACAGGCGAGGAGCTGGCCATGGTGGAGCAGCTCAGGAGGCTGCGAAGGGCCAAACGCCCCGAAACGCCCCGGGGGCCCGGGGGCCTCGGAAGGCCTTGCTTTCAGTTGAGGTCCTTGGCGGAAGACCTGGCCACCCACAGCCGCAGCAGCGCCTGGCCCGGGGCTCTGTGCAGCTTTGTCAGCTCTATGCAGCTCTATGATTGTTTGCTTCTTTGATGCGCATTGTAATCTCTTTTTGTTTTGTTCTCAAAGGAGTTGGGTCTGCTTTTTGCATTCCAATGTCAGGCACTACCTCCTGCAAGAGCTCATGTTGACGCAACAGGTGCTGGAAGGCGTGCCAGTGAGGGAGCTTTGCCCCACCTTCCGCCCCCCTTGCCTGTGCCAGTTTCTCGCCTGCCTTTTTTGGCCAGAGTCTCCTTGGTCAGATACATCACCTTGTCTGTACCACCTTGTGGTTTGTGCGTGCGCGTTTGCGCTTCAGTTTGATTTGTTCTTCACCAGCATGTTGACCTACAACTTTGCAGTTGGACAGAGTACAGAAAGTCTTTGCAGAATGCGATTGCACACCATCACAGAAGTTGCGTTGGCGACAGTCATGCTGCAGCATCTTTTTGAAGCATTGAAGCATTCAATATGAGGCCTGTTACCGATGCTTTGCCTTGACCTTGCTTCAAGCCTGCCAGGCAAATGCGCAGGCTTGAAAGCTGCCCTTCCGCGCGGGAGCCCAGAGGGAGGGGCGAAACGTTCATGTGGCCCCGTTCGCGATTCGCGGCGTGGAAGCTAACTTGCTCTCGAGGCGAGCGACGTTTGATTCTCCCGGCGGGTTGCTGAGTCGGTTGAAGTTTTCCAGTTTTCCAGATTGCGCTGGGCTTCGAGGTGAGCTGAGACAGACTCCTTTGGCTCTGGGCTCGTAGCATCTGTCCATGGAGGACATGGCACGCTTTGTGTTGAGGCGGCATGGCACAGCGCGGTCCCTGACGATCCAGATGTTTCGTCCACCAGAAGCGCGGCATGTGACGAGAAGGATTTGAATGCGAGTGACGGCGCGACTCACGACTCACTTCACGGTTTGCGGGGACGAGGAGCCACACAGCTTGGTAGGGGACATCCTTGCTGAAGCCTGCAGGCTCGCTGTGTTGGGATTTCATTCAATGTCTCTTGTGTTTGATGTGCCTGATTTGTCTTCGAGTCTTACATGTCTCATTTGTTTCCACCTACACGGCATGCACCACATGCACCACTTGCACCGCATGCACCACATGCACCACATGTGCCACAAATGTGCCACAAATGTGCGACAAATGTGCCACAAATGTGCCACAAATGTGCCACACATGTGCCACAAATGTGCCACACATGTGCCACACATGTGCCACACATGTGCCACACATGTGCCACAAATGTGCCACACATGTGCCACAAATGTGCCACACATGTGCCACAAATGTGCCACACATGTGCCATGCACACATGTGCCACACATGTGCCACACATGTGCCACACATGTGCCACACATGTGCCACAAATGTGCCACACATGTGCCACACATGTGCCACACATGTGCCACACATGTGCCACACATGTGC